TGTGTCTTTTTAAGAATACCAGTGGGCTCAGAGTCTCGGTTCAATACGTGGCTCTTTCTGGCCTCTGCCTCCTTCAACTAAACTGTAGCTTGTGTCCTGCCCTGGCAGGCTCAAACCTCCTTGTGCTTTCCTGGCACTATTGGGACCTCCACCTTCCCTTGTTAGTCCCACCTAGTCCATCAGTCATAACTGCAATGAAAAGGTAAGCCCTCTGGCTAGAACACAACTAGAAGCACCCAGGCTATCCAACACAGTTTGGCTCTTGGGAGACCCCCAGCTCCTTACTTGCAGTGGGGTTCCCCAACAGCCCCTCAGCCACCATCACTAATATGTAGAACTCCTTCCCTGGCAGCTTGTAGAGCCAGCTTCTTTCTAGAGACTCAGCCTGGGTTATATATTCACCAAGCCATGCCTTGGGGAATCATGTGCCTTCCTTTGTCCCACTGCAGGTGTCCTCTGTTAAGTCTGCAGACCAGCCAAACTGCATAGCAGTTTTCCTCTTCTCCAGGCTGAACTCTGTCTTACAGTACTACTGCTGTGCTACCAGCACTAAAATAAGTGTTCTGTCTTGTTGCCTTACTGCTGAGTCTCTGGCTCTGCATTGGGTTCCTGCAGCCTATCAGTCCCTCACCGGTCAGCCTCTCCTGGCAGCTGGTACCCTGCACCTGGGGCTCCCTGTGGCCGTTGGCCACTTAAAGTAAGAAGGAGCCCCCCGCTTCCTGTTACACCAGGTAATTGATTTGCATTGAAGTCATGATTTGCCACAGGTACTTTGATAAAGTAACTGAAAAACAAGGGGGGGGTGTTTGTTTTTTTTTAAATGGAAGCATAAATGGTTTAAAAAAGAAAAAGCGATCAGATACTTTGACAGAGTATGGTAAAACAAAACTGTCAAAACTCTTATTCTATGTTCAGACTACTACCTAGCTCTCATAAAAATTCATTTGAAAATCTCTTGCAATCAACTTCCCCGCGGTCACAGCTAGCTCCATCAACCTCCATTCCTTCTCTCACCAGGAGTCTCCTCTCTAGCCATCCCAATGGTCCCTGCCTCCAGAACTCTGCACGCAGCCCCTCCCCCCCAACAACAACAACAAAAACAACCTACCTTCAGGGGAGCCGGAGAATCCTTTAGATCGTTTCTGTCTGTGGATGGATCTAGGACAACCCTATTGTTAATATTTGTAATTGAAAAGTACCTCAGAATGGAAAAGGGGAAATGGGGAAAGGGAAATATAAAATAGGATTTAGCTTTGAAAGCATCCCTTAATTATGAAAGAACTGGAGTCAGAGAAGTATTGGATTTCTTCTTGCACTTTCTCCTTCGGAAGAAATTAGTCAACTTGTTACATCGTCAGACTGATATTCCTTGTCTGTGCAGCAATCTGAGTTGGGGTGGAAGCACAATAGGGTCACTCACAGGAATTCTGTATAGGTACAAAATATTTTATATGCATCTGCATACAAACATGCAGGACGAAATCCTGTACCATTTTGGTCAGTAGAACAAGGACCAGAGGATTTCACCCTCATCTGACTGGAAGTTTCAGTAAGCTCCACAGCAGCTTTCTAGTTGCACTTCTGGAAGTACAAGAGTAGAAACCAGCAACATTATTTCCAAAGAGAACTGGGAAAAAATTACAGTTGCAATCAACTCACATCTCTAGGGGTGGGGACAGACATTCAGAAAGCCGGAGCCTAAACTGATTCAACCTTTGCAGGTTACTCTAGCCTGCAGAGAGTGAACCAGTTTGTAACAGAACAGACATGTGGGCACATGCCTGGAGTTGCTCAGGCCAGGAGCGGGGGGCACTAGACCATGTCCTTGGCTGCAGGGAAGCTGTGGGAAGGGGGCATGGCCAGTCTGGGCTGAACTGGCCAAGCAGGGGTTTAATTCCCCCCTTCCTGTCCCGCTGGTAGGAGGCGGGGGAGGGACTTTCCCCTCCCCACTGTGCTGAGCAGCTGTTTCTCCCCCACCACCATTGCTGAGCGACCCCTCCCTGTCCCACTTCCAGCACTTCCTTTTGCAGCCTCTCAGAGCCGGCACCAGCCTGTCCTGTGTCTGCTTTGCTGCCACTGCTGCCCCGTGGTGGTGACTTGGTGGAGACACAGGGCAGCCGGGTGTTCGCTTCAGGCGGCTGCACCTGGGAGCACCAGCAGAGGGACAGGGAGGGGCTTTTCCCCAGCATTGAGCAGCTGTTTTTTTCCAGCTGCTGCTGCTCAGCCTTGGCAGGCGAGCTTGGAGCTGGTGTGGGGTGCGCAGGGTCAGGTCCCTGCCTGTACCACAGGACTAGGGCTGGGGCTGGAGCCAGCAGCAGCAGCAAAGGAACTGCTGTGGCTGGGCTGCCAAGAAAGGCAGTCCCGCCATGGAGCAGCCCTAGCCCCGCTGCAAGCCCAGGGAGTGGTGCCTCAGCCCAGTGGGACTGAGGGAACTGCTGGGGGCCAGACAAAGCCCCTCTGCAGGCCAGATTCTCCCAGTCTGTGGCATCTGGCTGTGTCCCTACCTAGCCTCTGGAGCGGTGAGGGGGAAACAACCATGATGGGGCAGGAGCCCCTTCCCAGAGCGGGGGGGTGGGAGGGGGAAGGCATGTTATGGGGCAAGGAAATTGGCTGCGGTGGCAGTGCTGGGGGGGGAAGTCTGGCCCCCTCTGGGCCCTGGGCGTGTCATGTGCAGCCCGCTGCAGCTCTGCCCACCCTGCAGCAGGGCCCACCACTGGGAAGGGATTTGTGCTGCTGACCAGTATGATGGGCTGCTGCCCTTACCAGGGGCCCCTCCCACTGCACTGGCTTAGCAGGGGCACAGCCAGCCTGTGGAGCCCCTTGGGAGGGGCAGGGATGCTTTATAATATGCTTTCAATTGCCTCACCTGTGGTTTTAACCACAAATCATTCTCCACCTGATAATTTCTAACATTCCAAACCCCTGAGACATTTCAAAGAGTTTTAAAATAAACATATAAATAACTTGCCAGAAAAGGTTTTCTTCTTCCTCCCTTATAAACTGCACTCGCATCAGACAGAATGAATAATACTATGAAATTCTGGATCAGTCACAGGTTATAAGTCCAGCATCTTGATAACTAAAAATTGGCCCCCTGGAACCTCAGGAAATGGGCTTCAACTGACACACCTTACCTATATGGGGGTACAGCCAGAACCCTGGATCTAACTCTCCCTGAAATCTAGGTGGATGACATATATGTCTGATTTTTTGGGAGTCAGCCATCCCTGTTAATGGAGAGCAGGGTGTTTTAGTTGCGAGCGTACAAACTGAAAATAATTTTCCCATCCTGGTCCAGTTGTTGAAATATAGTCATATGGTGGCTGATTTAGTCAATCAGGTTAATAAATGTCCCGTCTGATGCCGCAGTGAGGCAAGACCTTTTTTCCAACGTCCTGATGAGAAATAGTTGATCACATTTTCTGACCAGAGGAAGATTTAAAGTAACAAAACATATTCTCACCCATGTCATTTAGAATGCAATGAACTTCAGCTTTTATATTTTAGAAACAATAATTGCCTACAGGAAAAAAAATCCCCACAAATATTTCAGTTTTGTACTCAAGAAAAATAAAATGATCTGGACCCAGATTGTCCAATGAGCTTTGTTCACTTTACTCAGGTAAGTGGGGTAATCTGCTCTGCTTAACAGGTAAAAGTTAAGCATCTGGTTTATGGTTCTCCAATGCCATGAGACCCTTCAGCTGTTCTAAGTCCAGAGCCATGGGGTACAGAAAGAAGAGGAGCTGGGTGAAACATTGGAATTTCCATTCTACATGAAATTCTGTTTTCAAAAAAAGTGTCATTGTTTTCAGGATAAAAAATTCAGATTTTTTTTTTTTCAGAGAAGAAATTTAAAAAAACTTAGGAAAGAAATTGAAATGTTTGGGCTCATTTTTTCTGACATGAATTTACCTGCTGCCTTGTGTCCTGAGGAGCTTTTTGCCCTTCTGATTCCCAGGAGCAGCTGACAGAGTGCCCTGAAAGGGGAGAATCTTTTGCTGTAGAGCTGGGAGACTGGATGCTGAGAGCCCTTACAGCATTTCAAAATGCAAGCTGACCTGGAACTGTAGAACATGGGGATCCCAGCTTCCAGGCAGCTTAATTTCCAAGACTGGCTTGGAGCTGGGGACTGTGGAAGGCAAGGTTCCCCAGCAGCTCACTTGGTGATCTAATGGGAAAGCAGGCAGGTTTCTGACATCAACCTGCTTGTACTTTGATGGAAGTTTGTTGCAACTGATGTTTCCATGGGACATTTTCATTTTAATCAGCTATCATTTTCTGATGAGTAAATATGTTCAGTCCAATTTGACCACCTCTATTAGGGGGGTGCAAACAGATCCCCACTGCTTTTTTTCCCTTCCCCGCCTCCTTTGTGTAGCAGAGCTCTGCCCAAACTTTGAATTTGTTGGTTTTGTGCTTTTGCCAGAAAGCACAACATACTAATTCATCAGTTTGCTTAAGTAAGATGCAACTCATTCTGTAATGTTTGGATCTATTTCAAATCTCCACAAGGGTGAGTGGCTTGGGGATTGAAGGTTTGGAACCCAGCCTACCTATTGGAGCCACTGAGAGTATGGACTTCCATGAAGTCTGGAGGTGATCAGACCCACAATTTTTTTTTTCATTAACTTCAGTTGAAGGCGCACATTTATCACTCTTCCCTGACAAGAAATCTATTTAATGATCAAGTTTGGGAACTACATGAAATAAAAGTCCCTTCTTTGCTTTTGAGAAACTGATGTTTATGACTAATATTTGCTCTTGAGTTTTAACAATTTTTATTTGTGCTTTGACGTACAGAAATGTATGTGTTATGTACATATCTTTCATCTTCGTTTCTGAATACAGGAACAAATGAAATAAATACATAGTTGTACATGTGTTTTTAAGTTTGTTTCCATCTGACCTGTCTGCCTGCTGTTATTTTAATTTAATCTGCATCTTATGTCATTTGAATATGAAAAATGCATCACCTGATTTTAAAAATCTTTTACCAGGACATTTCAAAGTTTCCAGAGAAAGACTATACAGTCTTGGGGGAAGGTGGAATCACCCTAAGTGGAGGTCAACGAGCAAGAATCTCACTAGCAAGGTGAATATTTTAGCATTTGAATGGCTGATATTTTACATTTGGAAAAAAATATGAAAAGTTTAATGAAATGTGGTCAAATTATACCATGAAGGAATTTATGTGGATGATGCCTATTAGTTTGTGTGGAAACTGAATTGTATTATCTGAGATCAGAGTTTTGCCTTATGATGCTATAGACACACCTATATATTTATTAATTTAGTTCTAATAGTTTGATATCAGAGACACTCATTGGTTCAGCCAAAATCAAAGTTTTGATAGTTAACTGAGAAAGCCACTTTGAATCACAGCATTAAGTATGAATTTCCATAGTGCCAAAGAAATGTTTGTCATGGAAGATAGAAATAAGAAATATTCTAGTATCTTCCTTTATTACAGTACCTATCACCAGAGGGTCTTTAAGAAGTTCACAAATCAAATGATTGAAAGATTATAGTATTTCCATTTTCTTGACATGTAAACTCAAGCACAGCATGGATAAAGCCCATGTTTTAAAAAATATACTTGCTAATTTTAGATGTCTGCATTTTTGGACCATGATATGGCCAGGGATCAAAATTCAGAGCAACTGAATATCTGCCACTAAGTAAAATCAGTGAGAGAAATGGGTAATCAACACCTTTGAAAAGTATGGTCTTATGATCTCAGTTCAGCCTTTCCAAGTGAGTGGATGCTTCTGAAAGCTCTACGGTAATAGACTGATATACACAACAGTAGATAGATTAATTTAATCAAAGGCCTTAAGCCAAAGTTTACTTTAATATTATTTCAATGAATTAAAGTTACTTGATCAGGAAGGAAACAAAGCAAACAGCCACTAAAATACATAAATATTAAAATAGATCATTGTGGAAGTAAACTGTTCTGATGGGATGATGGTACCAAATGCTGTATCTCCAGCAATTTCTGGCAGTGGCTCCCTGTCTCATCCTGTATCTGGGGGAGTCAGAGAAGTTGTGCACTTGCTTTTTAAGGTGGGGAATCTGGTCTGCACTACCATTCAGTCAACTATGATACATGATTTAGGAAGTAAAGCAAGTGTTTTCTCCAAATAGTTCATTAATCTTCCAGCTTCAGGTTAGGTACTATACTGAAAGTGGTATCCAAAAGGTGTAGGGGGAAGTTAAAAGCATTAAGACTTACACAGTTATTTAGAATTAGTGTTATAAAAACAAGATCACTGGAACCTACTGGAGCAAAGTAGTATGGTAAAATAGGCAATTGTCCCTGTGTTTGTGATTTTGTGACAGGCTGTGACTGGCTTTTAAAGGGATGCCTGTAGGGGATGGGGGTCAGAAGCTTCCTTTCCCTTTCCCTTTTACCCAGCAGACAGCTACAAATGCAGTGTCTGCACTTTGAGTACAAAGACTCATCACTTCAAATATCCCTGGGATGCAAGGCATTTCAAAAGAAGCAGGTCTGAACTCTATCTCTTCTCTGTACCAGCTGTACAGTGCTTCCTAGTTATTCAGTGCTATTCCTCCAGCAGAGACACTCATCACTTTCTCAGGGCTGTGTTTTAAGAATTCAGTTAAGTGATGGTCCTCAATAAAAAGTATGTTGTGGAAGACTTTTTATTTCTTACGCATACTTAACTTATTTCTCCTCATTTAAGACAGAGAGACATCTATTCAGTAATAATTGCATTTAAAGAAATATCATATGTGTTAAAAGAGGACCAAAGCAGACACTCCCAAAGTTGCAAATGTTCTGCTTTGTGGCCTGAAAAGATCTAATCCAGTAGAGGGGAAAAGAGAGAATTCTGTGCTCTTCTCTAGTCTTAACTTTCATGAAAAAAAGTCTTAAGCTTTTGCAGCTGTGAAGAAAACCACCTTCAACAGGTAAATAGGCAGACAAAGTTCTTTGGGTAAATGTGATATCTTTTATTAAACCAACTAAATAGTTGGAAAAATTGTTCTTTACAAACTTTCAGGTGCAAATACCCTTCTTCAGGCATAAGGAGAGTCTGCTGGTGTTTGTGTGTTCTCTTGGGTGGACTAGAAGCTTAAGGCAATAGGCAGAATGCAAATGCGTGGCAGGGAAGATCAGAGGGGATAGGAGTTAATAGGTGGGGGGAGGAAGAGGGGAATGTTGACCAGTGATAAAATGTAGCTGGTAAAATGTAGGGCGGTTACCTGGGGTTATCAGATGACAGGCAGGTTATAATGTGCCATAAATCCAATGTTTATATTTAGTCCATGATTTTTTGTATTCGGTAGATTTATAAAGTAACTCCCATTGATCTTCCCTGCCATGTATTTGCATTTTCACAGACCTGCATTTTGCATATTGACTACTGTCTGCTATCTGACCCCCAGGTTTATTTTCCCTGCTGTAGCAGTGGGAAGGGGACAAAATTCAAGGCAAACCTCCAATAATTAGATTCTACATCTTGGAAAATTGTAAGAAACGTATAATTTTTCCATATATAGAATCTAATTATTGGGGGGGGGCACTTATATTCAGAGTTGTCTAATGTTTAAGTAAATATGGTACTTCAAAGACCTTTATGTATTCTACTTTGTAGTCGCCAATCCTGCAAGCTTTCCAGGCAGCAGGGTATGGCATAAACCCATCTCTCCATTGACTTCAGAGGGCTTTAGAAGACACCCAGAATTCCCATTAAAGTGGTTAGGTATCATGCACATAAATGCAACCTTCAAGATCAGTTCTTAAACAGGTATCTAAAAGCCAAAATAAAAAAAAACACAACAAAAGAAGTTGTGTAGAATCATAGAATCATGGAAAATTAGGGTTGGAAAGGACCTCAGGAGGTCATCTAGTCCAACACCCTGCTCAAAACAAGACTATCCCTAACTACATTGTCCCAGCCCAGGCTTTGTCTAGCTGGGTCTTAAAAACGTTGAAGGATGGCGACTCCACAACCTCTCTGGATAACCTGTTTCAGTGTTTTACTACCCTCCAAGTGAGAAAGTTCTTCCTGATACGTGCTAAGTTCTTCCTAAACGTGCTAAACTTTGCTGCAACTTGAGACCATTGCTTCTTGTTCTGTCATCTATCACCACTGAGAACAGTCTAGCTCCATCCTCTTTGGAGCCACCCTTCAGGTAGTTGAAGGCTGCTATTAAATCCCCCTCAGTCTTCTTTTTTCCAGATTAAATAGGTCCAGTTCCCTCAGCCTATCCTTATACATCATGCTCCCCAGCCCCCTAACCACTTTCATTACTCTCTGCTAGACTCTCTCCAATTTGTCCACATTTTTTCTATAGCAGGGGGCCCAAAACTGGACACAGCACTCCAGATGTGGCCTCACCAGTTCCAAATAGTGGGGAAGAAACACTTCTATCCATCTGCTGTCAATGCTCCTGCTGCTAAATGTGGCCCAATATACTGCTAGTCTTTTTTGCAACAAGAGCACACTGTTGGCTCATATTCAGCTTACTGTCTACTGTAACCCCCAGGTCTTTTCTGCAGAGCTGCTGCTTAGCCAGTCGGTCCCCAGCTTTTGCTTACAGGGAAGTTCATGAAAAATTACCGGAGTGTACCACATACCTAATGAGAAAAGGCTTTATTTAAAAGGGTCTTATAAACAGAGTTAATTTTGAACAAGGATTCCTTATAAATAGGTAGTGTTTATCCTTAAGTCTATTAATTAGAGTTGTTTTGGGATAGAGTTTTAAAAATGTCCATTTAAAATGAAACTTAAATTGAACTGTTAGATCTTAGTGAACTTAATTTTTTCCCATTTCCTTTATTTAGAGCAGTGTACAAAGATGCTGATTTGTATCTCCTGGATTCTCCTTTTGGCTATTTAGATATGTTTACAGAAAAGGATATATTTGAAAGGTATTGTATAGTTCCAGAGGTTTGTTTTTGAGAGTTCTGCCAAGTAGCACAATGCAACGCGCAAAGACAAGAATAGATTTCCACATCTCTTCAGCACTGAATTTTATTAATACTGCAAAAATATAAAAGTGGTCAATATGATAGCTTTGGGTGGACATTTATTATGTTTAGCAATGATTTGGAACTCTGTGTGCAAAAGCCCAGTAATGATACATGCCTTCTTAAGTAAAAGGCATGTTATAGCTATGATTGCTATGGTTCCAATGGAATGTATTGTGTCTACTATAATGCATTCACCTCAGGACACACTCTTTTATAAACAGTATACATGTGTAGTAAAGTGTTTATTGCATCCTAAGTTTGAAGAACTCAAACTTTTTCATGGGTGTCAGTCTTTACAGAAAAGGATATTCTGTCCATTTTTTGGTAAACCCAAACAGAGTGGGCCAACTAAAAGTAGTGGCCAGTTGAATAAGAGATTGATCGATAGCTGTGGCAAGCGCTTAGACCCATACGTGGTGCCTGAGTTATGTATCATACAAAAGTGACACCCTGCCCTCTCTGAATCTTCCCAAGAACTTCTTTTCTTGTCTAGGGTCAGTTTTGTGTGGAACAAAAAAACCTTCACGCAGTGACAAATGGTAAATCTAAAAACAGTTCAGCTGTGTTGCCACTATCATGCTTAGAGCTGGCCTGGGTATTTTAGGCGATAATAAATTCACTGGAAAATGCATGTTTCAAGAGGAATAAAACTAACTGTGAAATCAGGTAGAATTTGGTGAATAGTTTAGAACAAAAATAATGCACTAAAATTTGTAGAAAAGATGGTATATTTTCTTTAAAACATTTTGATTTTTTTTATTAAAAGAATCAAGTTGGCTTAAATTAAAAAACAGATTTAAGGAAAAGTTCACATGACCCAATAAATTAAATGAATTCTATTCTGGGGTCAAACAGTGCTTTTTTGAATCAATCTGAATTGGTTTATTTTATTTTTTCAATATGACCACAGAACTGAAAGTACATTATTTACACAGCTCACTATAGTGTCTCCATGCTCCTGCTCCTCTCACTTGCACCACAGGTAGCAGAAAAGGGAGGGGGAGGTGATACATACAGAAGCATATAGATCAAAACTAGAAATAATGTGTAAACATGGAGAGAAAATACTGAGAGATTCTGTGATTTTATAAATAAAACATAATGCTTGTTTTGTGTTTTTTGTAGTTGTGTTTGCAAGTTAATGGCCAATAAAACTAGAATCCTGGTCACCTCAAAGCTGGAACATTTAAAGATAGCTGACAAAATATTAATTTTACATGAAGGGAGCAGTTATTTCTATGGAACTTTTTCTGAACTTCAGGGTCAACGCCCTGACTTTAGCTCAAAATTGACAGGATTTGATGCTTTTGACCAGTTCAGCGCAGAAAGAAGAAACTCAATTCTGACTGAAACCCTCCGACGGTTTTCTATTGATGGAGATGGGGCTGGCTCACGAAATGAAGCGAAGAAGCAATCTTTCAAACAAACTTCAGATTTCAATGAAAAAAGAAAAAACTCTGTAATTATTAATCCACTTAATTCTAGCAGAAAGTTCTCTATACTACAAAAAAACTCAGCACATGTTAATGGGATAGAAGAAAGTCATGGAGATCCATCAGACAGAAGACTGTCACTAATACCTGATTCTGAACAAGGAGAGGTAATTCTGCCTCGCAGCAATATACTAAACACAGGTCCACTGTTGCATGGACGGAGAAGGCAGTCTGTACTGAACCTGATGACACACACTTCAGTTATCCAGGGCCAAAGCTTTTACACAAGAGGGACTACACCAATACGTAAAACATCAATGATCCCCCAGTCAAAACTGTCTTCTGAGATAGATATCTATACTAGACGTTTGTCTCAAGACAGTGTCCTGGAAATAAGTGATGAAATTAACGAAGAAGATTTGAAGGTATGTATATATTTGTATTTGTACACTATTTTTGATGAGCTTCTTTAACACTAGTACAGGATAATATATTTTTACTGAATTTTCCATCTGATTCTCTTGGTCATTATGCCTTTCTCATTTATAGAGTGTTTATTATTTTTTCTATCTTACATACAAGTTTTAATTTAAACAACTTTTATTCATTTGAACAGTGTTTCTAGAAGGATTTTGTTGTTGAAATATAAAAACACAGCTTTCTGGCTAAGCTTAGATTTTATAACAAATCTTTTAAATTCTTTGAAAGACACCTCTTGAGACTTTTATTAAAAATACTTTTAACTTATGCATTGCTATTACCTTGTAAGATTGATTATGTTTAAATACAATTTGAAACAAAACTACAGAAGTTTGTTTTTTAAATAATTATCAAGAATAGAAATTTGTAAGGTTAACTTCCAGAATAAAGTAAGCTAATTGGAGTATTTACTATTTCAACATGCAATAGTGTAACTGATTAAAGCAACATGTTTATCATTTCTTATTTAGCAATAAAAGCACAGAATACATTTCATGTACTGATATGCAAAATGAGATTAAGCTAATTTTATTATTGTGGATGCATTGGTAATGACAGAGTTGTGTTAGAGTTGGAGTAATGTTGTACCTCTGATGGTCCAGGAAATATGTAAGAGGCAAGGATTTTTGTGGTGATATCTTGTACTGGACCAACTGCATGTTTGGAATAGATTTAGACAAGTTTTTAAAATCTTGAATCTTGAAATTTTCATTTATAACCAGATTAAATTCCTATTTATTTTTGGCAAAGTTCCTTTCAGAGGAAAATTGAATACAATCTCATAGGGATAATGGAAACCTGGTAGGACTCCACCTATGACTGGACCACAGGTATTGATGTACAGGAGGGATTGTGTTGCAAGGAAGGGCAGGGGTGTAGCTGTCTATGTGAAGGAACAGTACACTTCCCTACAAGTAGAGATTGGCACCCAAGGAGGGTGACTTGAAACCATCTGGCTTAGAATACGGGGAGAACGTGGTCAAGGGAATATAACTATTACAGACCTCCTAACCAGGAGGAAGAGCTTGACCATGAATTTGCTAGGGAATTGGCTGAGGATGCACGCTCTGGGTGTATGGTCATCATGGGTGACTTCAGCCACCCTGACATCTCATGGGAAGAGCATTCAGCCAAATCTGATCAGTCACAAAGCTTCCTCACTTACATTGGAGAGCTCTATTTGACTCAAGAAGTCTATGGGCCGACAAGAGGTAAGGCGCTGCTGGACCTGCTGTTGGCCAAAGGGGATGATCTAGTCAGTGACCTGAGTATCAAAGGGAAGCTTGGAGACAGTGATCATGAATTGATCACTTTCTTTATCCATCACAAAACTGGCAAATCAATTAGCAGTGCAGAAATCTTTGACTTTAGGAAAGCTGACTTTCACAAGCTCAGGAGGTTGGTTGTTGAGGTCCTGAGAAACCATGATCTGACAGGGTTGGGAATCCACAATGATTGATCACTCCTTAAGGATGTGATCCTAAAAGTACAAGGGAAGTCCATTCTGGCCTGTAGGAAAGATAGCAAAAAGGTTGGGAGACCCCTTTGGCTCAATAGGCAACTCATGGACCTCCTGAATCTGAAAAGAAAAGCTTATAAAGGATGGAAGTCGGGAACTACCACTAAGGAGGATTATTCAGCACTGGCCTGCACCTGTAGGGAGTGGACCAGAAAAGCCAAGGCTGAAACTGAACTCAAACTGGCTACTGGAATCAAGGAAAATAAAAAGTCCTTCTTCAAATACATGGGAAGTCAGAAAAATACACAAGGGCAACATCACACGCTTGTTAAACCAAATGGGGCAACTGACAACCGACACCCAGGAAAAATCTTCTCAATGATTACTTTGCATCAGTTTTCCACCAGCCCAAAAGGATCACCCTACCTGACAGGATGCAAAACTACCAGGGTAAGGGTGATCATACGCCATAATACACCATAAGGGTGATCATATGCCTATAATTGGCAAAGATCTTGTGAGGGAACAGCTTGAGAGGCTGGACATGCACAAGTCAGCTGACCTGGATAGAATGCACCCAAGATTGCTCAAAGAATTGGCTGACATCACAACACGACCAATGGTGAGGTTATTTGAGAATTCATGATGCCCAGGAGAGGTTCCTGAAGATTGGAAGAGGGCCAATGTGGTGCCTATCTTCAAGAAAAGAAGGAAGGAAGATACAGAGAACTGCAGGCCAATCAGTTTGGCCTCAATCCCTGGAAAGTTCTTGGAAAAATCATTAAAGAAACCATCAACAATATGCTAACAGAAGGCAGAGTTCTGAGAGAGAGCCAACGTGGCCTCATTGTGGGTAGGTCATGCCTGACCAAACTTATTTCCTTCTGTGACCAGGTGATGCATCACCTGGACAAAGGAGAAGAGGTTGATGTCATATATTTAGGTTTCAAAAATCCTTTGACTTGGTCTGCCATGATGTCCTCATGGTAAATTTGGGAAACTGCAGCCTTGACAACCTTACGGTCTGATGCCTCGGGAACTGGCTCTGTGGTCAGACGGAAAGAGTGATAGCCGATAGAACCAAGTCAGCATGGCACATGGTGACCAGTGGTGTTCCCCAGGGCTCAGTACTTGGACCAGTACTCTTTAATATATTCATAAATTATCTGGATTCAGGTGTCTGAAGTGGACTGGCTAAGTTTGCGGATGACACCAAATTATGGGGAAGTGAGGCCACTCTAGAGGATAGATTAGCAATTCAGGCTGACCTGGACAGGCTTGCAAGGTGGGCGGATCAAAACCTGATGACATTCAACACTGAGAAATGCAGGGTGCTCCACCTCAGGAGAAAAATCCCACATCATACTCATAGGCTCAGCAGTGCATCATTCACTAGCACCATGATCTAAAGAGACTTGGGGGTCATGACTGACCACAAGATGAAAGTGAGCCAGCAATGCAATGCCACAGCCAGCAAAGCAAATAAAACCCTGGCTTGCATCTACCGATGCATCTCAAGCAAGACCCAAGAAGTCATCCTCCCACTTTACCTAGTCTTTGTGAGGTCACAGCTGGAGTACTGTATCCAATTCTGGGCTCCACACTTTAGAAAGGATGTGGAGAAGCTTGAGAGAGACCAGAGGGAGAGCCATGTGCATGATTGGAGTTCAAGAGAACAGGCCTTATGAGGAGAGGTTGAGAGGCATGGGACTCTTCAGCCTGGAGAAGCAAAGGCTCAGGGGTGACTTGATGACAGCTTGTAAGTGTATAAGGGGTGTGCATCAGGAACTGGGAGAACATCTATTCACCAGATCATACCAAGGAAAGACAAGGTCTAATGGTCACAAATTGCTGGAAGACCATTTTAGACTGGACATAAGGAAAAACTTCTTTACCATCCGAGTCTCCAGAGTCTGCAATAGACGACCCCCGCAGAAGTGGTGCACTCTACTCTGGATACCTTTAAGAACTGCTTGGATGCTTATCTTGCTGGGGTGATCTGATTCCAGCTGGCTTCCTGCCCCTTGGGCAGGGGGCTGAACCCAAAGATCTTGTGAGGTCCCTTCCAGCCCTAATGTCTATGAAATCTATGAAATTTTTAAAGTCATGTCTTCGATAAAATATTTTTTATTTTGCCAGAAGAAACTTTTGAATTCATCATTTTCTAAGGATCAGAAGTTCTCAGCTTTTCTTTTTCCTGAATGATCTTAATAGAACAGAGTTTCCATGGGGTTAAATCTCATTGAAAACTGATTCTAAGGAAATAAGATCAGAATTTATCTTAGTTCTTAGGAGTATTGTACTGATTGGTTCACTGTAATGAGAGCTCGATCTATAGCTCAAGACAAAGATTTTTGTGGGTGCTATCTTTTATTTGACCAACTGCATAGTTGTGAAGGATATAGATAAGCTTTTGGGTGGCAAGTTTCCTTCCTCAGGTATCAATAGATCAAGTCATTCTTATGTGGAGTTGTTATGATTAAGGTAGCTTTTCCAGTCTAAATGCTGCAATTCTAGTACTAGAAATTAATCCATGAGGAAGGCAGAGTGTATATATGTATTAAGAGTTCTTACTGATAGATATTGTTATTCTAACTATGTTCTTTTCCATTCCCTTGACAGGAATGTTTTATGGATGAATCAGAAAACATAAATGGTGTTACTACATGGAATACATATTTCAGATACATTACCATCCATAAAAACTTGATTTTTGTCCTAGTTTTTTGTGCTGTTATCTTTTTAGCTGAGGTAAGACTATTCAGCTCTTCAGATCTAGTCACTATTAATAGCTATTCAAATTGAACATGTAGTTTTTTATGTAAATGCCAAAGGAAACTTTTAATTCTTTTGCATATGCATATTTTGATGTCTGTTAATTGGCCATTACTGCTGGCTTGTTTTAGGATATTAGTTTTTCCTACATTAGTTGAATATTGTTAAAGACAATGATTTGGTGTAAGGATAACCAAGGATTGACAGCCACCAAAGTCCTCAGTTTTTTTTTGCTTTATGAAAACCTACCAGTATATAAAACTTCTGAATCTGCACAGTTAAGTGGTATTTCTGGAGTCTTCTACAAAAATTGCCTGAGGCATAATGGAATATGTTTTTTACCCTGTCCACCCAACAGCTCAGTGTCCTTTTGACATCTAATTGCTGTTTGAGACAAAAGACGAGTTAACATGCTGTCTGCAGTGGTAATTAGATGGATCTTATGAAATTTTGTACCAGCTTTTCTTACCATTTTATTAAATGGATTGATGAGGTGACTGGACCTACTTAGTATACGTGGCTGGTTTATTATGTCTGTGGGAGGTGAGATCATTCAATACTTCACAGGAAGCGTTAAAAATTTTATTCAGAAGTAGAGGTGATTGACAGATAGCTCTGGATTTCATTAATATTGTTTTGAGGTAGGCTTAAATGAATTCTGAGGCCTGGGACCAAAACCTTGGTTTCAGGTCTTATTTGGATCTATGACCCAAAAATATGATGTTGCTTTCAAATGGAGTTTGCTCTGTAAATATGTGGCTTAAGTTTGCTGTTACCCATCAGCTTCAATTACATCATCTGTGGAGGACCTACAACAATACAGTGAAAAGTGACTTAAAGACTGGCTAAAGGGCATTTTAATTTCCAAATATAGCAAATTTAAGCACTTATATTCAAGTCTTTTTGGAACTGATCTTAACATGTACGGGCTTAAATTACCTAATTTAGACAACTGTGTAGAAAAGTCCGCAAATGAAATTATGTTTGGGTGACCTAATTTGTGCCCCCAGTTAGCTTAAGCCCTTTTTAAAGTTGTGACCCTAATATTTTAAATTTTACTTTCACATGACTTGCTAATTTACTAAGCAGTTGTATAGGCATAGGGACTCTAGACTGAGCTGCAGTTTGCTATTCAGTTTGCTATTCACTTGTATTTAGATACCTAACTTAAATGACTTCAGAGCAATGGGAGTTAGTAGTAGGTGGGTGCCTAAAGTCCTTTGACGATCTGGGCACTGGTTGTTTATCTCAAGCAGTAGACATTTTTAGCTTTGAAAGTTGGAGGGTAATAAGTAAAACTGAGATGGGAGCTTGATACTACAGTCTTTAGAACTGGAAGAGTAACATTTTTGCATTCATGCAGGGAGCTGGACCAGCTGACCTGTGAGGTCCCTTCCAACCCTGACATTCTGTGATTCTAAGAGACATTCCTGGAGCATTCTGTAAATGCTTCTTATACCAAGTAGAATGGACTGTTTTATACTTAAGAGTTTCCAGGTGACCCAGGCATGGTATTATTACAAACAGATGTAGATAGGAAAAAAAGTAACTCTATATTCTCTGATTGCAGGTAGCCGCTTCTCTTATTGGGTTGTTGTTTCTCAAGCAGTAAGTATTTACTGTTTTATTACAGTTTTGAGGAATTCTTCTAATTCTGATTTTGTATTTCTTTTTAAACCCTTCTTAGTATCTGTTAATGAAAATCCTTATGGCCAGAAATGCATTTGATAAAGTGATTCTTACCAGCTCATTGATTCACTTTTGGTTCTATGTTATGTGGCAATAACAGAGACAAAGCATTTCACTTATTTAGTAATTTAATTTTGCTCAACTCTCAAAAGAATTTTCTTTAAAACAAGATGGATAGTGATGCATTTTATAAATCAATTTTAATAAATGAAACCAAGAAGGTATTGGACTCAGACAAGATTACTAAAATAATTCATTTTTCATAATAATTTAGATGGAATTTCAAAGGTTTTTATGTGTATCTTAGGGCTTTCTTCCTTTCTCAGTTGAGACCTGCCATTTACTCATCAAAACATCTACAGTGCTTTTTGCTGAAGTTAATTTTGGAAGTTACAACAGGTGTTGATGAGTATTCCCCTATCCAAGAATAGCTAAAGTGATAGATATCACCTTGGCCTCTAAAGAGAGAAATAAGGATCTTGTATATGTGGTAATAAATTAGTTATTTTTTATTAATGCAGTTTGATGTTTAAAAACAATAAGAAAAATAAATAGCTTTACACCTAAAAATGCATTAATATAGATTTAGGTTAAGTGACATTCTCAGATACAACTTGTTTATGAGTCTCAGTTATGGTATTTTTTTATAATTTGTATTTTACAGACAGTTTCCAGGTACAAATACAACAGACAGGAGAAACACCACATCTCATGTGCCTGGTGATGGCCCTTCAGTAATCATTACGAAAAGTAGCTTTTACTATGTCTTTTACATTTATGTGGGAGTGGCAGATACCCTGCTTGCCTTGGGAATTTTCAGAGGTATACCACTGGTGCATACTCTTATAACAGTGTCTAAAACTCTCCATCAGAAGATGTTGCATGCTGTTCTTCAGGCACCTATGTCAACATTCAACACTTTGAAAGCAGGTAATCAAATCAGTAGTTAACTGACTGATTGAATTATTTATGGTTTTTGTTTTAATTGAGACATAGTTCATTCTGGTTAAAGGGTACCATTGTTTTCTGTTCTGTCTCAGAGTCTAGCTGAATGTTTGCTGAATGATTGTTTAAAAGTTTGTTACTTAAATGTCATGTGCAAACCTTGATTGCATTTTAAGTATGACACATTTTTGTTGTCAGCTTTTTGTTTTGAAATAACAGTGTACTTCAGTGGTTAGGTAGAAGGAATGATTAAATGTTAGTGAGGCATAAAAAGCAGGTAAGAACTGGATATAGAAGCTACACATACAGATGTACATGTCCTAAGGCTGACTTCAGCCCATAAGCTTTAAACTGCAGCTTGATATCTTTGATCAGCATATTCTTTAATTCAGGAAAGCTATAGTTTTGGCTACAGCTAGTTTCTGTAGGCTTTGGTGTAAAATGATCCCATAAGAACCTTTTTCTGTTTTTTTCAATCTATAGGAGGAATACTTAACAGATTCTCAAAAGATACGGCAATATTGGATGACATACTGCCTCTTACTATATTTGACTTTATTCAGGTATGTAAAATCAAACTTATAAATTTTGTGTTGCCTTCTAGTGCAGTAAAACTACATCCAACATCATGGATAGTGAATCATATAAAATAAAAGGAACTAAGCAGCTAGCAACATTTTATACACACACATACAAGCTAAATATATACACCATGCTGAAGCAGTAAGATCAAGATCCACTTTCAAAATAAATAAGTAGTTTTAAGATTAAGCTATCTATTTAAGTAGCTGATCACATAGCTATAGAAGATGGGAACAATTAGGTTTTATATAATGTTTTGCATTATAGTGACTGTGCAAGCCATGAGCTATTTTCTGGAATAATTGACCCTGTGATAGAAAGGAAAAGTGTACTTCATGGGCCATGTGGAATGTAAGTTCCACTGGGAGTTCCACTTTGAGACCTATATTCCTTTTTTTTTCTTTGTCCAGATGAAACCAAAATATCAAAGGGAAAAAGAGGCCACTTGCAGCCTAACTGGGTTTATATTCTGTCACAAGTTAAATAGGTTCTTCAAGTTTTCATGCTTTTGATTCTTGGGCTTTATTTTCCCTGCTGTTATGTTTTTTATTTTTTACCTTTTCCTGTTAACTTTTTGCTTTAGCAGCTGTGATCCAAAACAGCTTTGTCTCTAGGTACTTTCTTTCTTCTTTCTCAGTAGTTCAAGATCAAATTCAACTTCCTGGTATTTTTTGTTGAAACAGTTTTCCACTGAAAACTATCAATTCATTGAAAGAGAAATGTTCCATAGAAATAAATTTGTTTTGAAGAAATTTCATAATAACACAGGATTTTCTGCTAGTTAGCTTGGCAGTCTTGGGTTTTGTTGTTCAGGATTTTAGTTGCAGAAACTAAAAACCCAAACAACTTCTGGGACACTCAGCTGCTGTAAGCACTCTCAGGTTCTTGCTCGCAACTCTGTAGCAGGAAGCCTGAAGCCCTGAAAGCCTCATGGCTTCCCAGGCCCTAACTGGGTGTCAGGGAGATTGCAAAGCATAGAAGCCATTACATTTCCACTTGAATGTTTTCTTCTGGTCCTGTGAATTTTTCACTTCAGGCTGCCCAGTGAGCCAGGTCAGCAAGAGACAGTAGCACCCCCACCCAAATTCTGGGTCCTCTCTTGGGTTCTCGGGGATTTGGGTTCAGACTCCTCAGACTAAAGAAGGTCAGGTCAGGTAGCCAAAACCCAGGTTTTCTACACCCTGGGTAAGTGCTTTCACCACTAAGCTATTAGGTAAATAGTGGTCTGCTTCTCTTCCACTGAGCTAGCTGCATGCATGATCTTAAGCTTAAGCAACTTGGTATGGTTTTTCTGGCCAGCTTGTTTCTGAGCATGGGAAGTAGTCCAAGTCTAGATGCCTAGGGATTGTTTCAAGTGAAAATGGAGGTGCCTAGTGAATCTATATGCTTTAATGCAGGAGTGTCAAAGATCCAGGCCAACAGACTGGATTCAGCCCTCAGAGCCCTATCTTCTGGCCCATAGTGCTGCCTGGGGGTGTCCAGCCAGCCCTGCATGCTGCTTGCAGTGTGTGCTGGTCAAAGTCTGTGGAGCCTATCTGGCGTGGGCTGAACACAATGTGGGGCCAGTCTGGGGTGTGTGCTGCATGTTGCCCTTGTGCTGGACCAGCCCTGCATGCTGGATTCAGAGCCGATCTGGATCAAGCCCACAGACTGGCTACCTGTGCCACATCCAGTATGCAGGGCTGGTCTGGTGCAGGTGTTACATGCAGCACATGTCCTAGATTGGCCTTGTGTGCTGCATGCCCCATGAGGCTGGAGTTGGCACTTGTTCCATGCAGTGCTTGGGGATGGCCTGGGATGTGTACTGCATATGGCGCCCATGCTGGACCAGCTTCTTGCATTGGATCCCGTGCAGGTGGCCAGTTTTTTAACCCAGTCTGGATCGCCTCTAGATTCAGTACACAGGCTGAGCACAGAGTGTGCATCCTGGACTGGCCCCATATGTAGCATGCTGTGCATGAGGTCAGGGCCAGCATATGCTCTGTGGTGCATGGGGCTTGAGCTAGCGCACACACTGCAAACAACACATGTTGCTGGTCCAGGGTGCATGCTGCCTGCAGCGTCTGTACCAAATCAGCCCTGAGAGCTGGATCAAGAACATGGGACTAGTCCCGCTCTCAGGGCTGACCCCTCATTCAGATGCCTTTGACATCCCTGCCTGTAGCTGTTGAAGGGAGCGGAATAGGATTGTGTTTAGTGACTTAGATACCTAAAGGCTGCATAAGGGCCACTCAGAGGCAGAATGAGATCTAATCCCAAGTATTTATGATAATTTGTTAGATCTGTTAGAACCATTGATAACAAGATCTTGTGGAAAAGGAAGAAGCCTCTTGCAGAAATATATACATTAGCCTTTGAAGGTATTTATTTCTTTAAGATGGAAAACCACAGTGAATAGAATCGGAGTTTAGATCCTCAGGGACCGTCTAGTCTAAATTTGCCCTTCCCCAGATGGAGGATGCACTGTTCTTAAACCATATTTTTCATAGTGGTCTGGGTTGGAATGATAGTTTTAAAATTTAGGAATTAAATATTAAGGGAGATGGGAAGTTATATAAAAAGAAACTATCGATGGGGGCAATATATTGATCAAAACTGTCTGTGATTGTGTATTTTAAAGAATGCAGGAATATCTAGACAATTTTGGGGAGGTACTTACTTTTTGAGGATTAACTTTAAGTAAAAAAAATAGCCGTTGTCTGAACCATCCATCTAGTGCCCTGAATATTATAAGGTTTGTTCTCAGCTGCAAATCCTAGCTAGTCCAGCACATCGTTTTGGTAAGCATGAAGCTGAATGGTACATAGCTGCCATGGGGAAGAGATTCATCACCAATCTGTAGTCTATAAAGTGCAAAGTTTGCTGTATCAATAGTATTTTTCTTTCATTCTACAGTTAATACTGATTGTGATTGGTGCTATAACAGTAGTCTCAATATTAGAACCCTACATCTTCCTGGCATCAGTGCCTGTGATAGGAGCCTTTGTTATGTTAAGGGCATACTTCCTCCACACTTCTCAGCAGCTGAAGCAACTGGAATCTGAAGGTATGAGCAGAAATATTGATAGATCCTAAATCCATGGAAAATGAATTTTTACCTTTTCTTTGCCTTCTCTACTGCAAGTTTCATTGTCTCTGGGAGCAGAATAGTCATCTCCCTTGATAGCAACTGGTGTTAGTGAACCAGCCAGTACAGTGTTCTGCCCCCAAAAGCAATTAACAAACACAGGTTTCAAGTTGGGTACCACCAGTGCAGCTGAAAACAAATAAAGTCTTGAAATACAGTTTTAATAAGAACAAACTTACTTGAAAGTATGGGACCATGCCTTGCAGGTTCCTAGCAACAATCAGGTCTATACCTTCTATGTGCAAATGTATGAGCCTATCATCAGTTTCTGCTGTGATGGTAAAAACCTCTCTTGTCAGTGTCTAAGTTACCTATTTGAGTAAGCATATTTGTTTCCTTAAAGCTGTATTTGGAACATGTAATGGAAATACTGTTTTAGACGTAAGGGCTTGCTGGATCATTTGTTCAAGCACAATATTGTGGCTTCGAGGCAGACCTGCATCCAACTCATGAAAGTTAATATTGATATCTGATAGTCTGTGGAGTTCCAATCTGGATCTGGATCAGAATTTCCTGGAAGTTTTGGAAATCCAGTGTTGGCTCAGTAATACTTTGAATATGGTGTTGTAGAGTATCCTTAAAAAAAACCCCTGTTGGCAGTGTGGAACGCAGAGAAATGAAGCACTCTTATCTTTGTTAAAAAATGCCTTGTGGAATTTTCGGAACATCAGGAATTTTGGTGGCCAGGAGATTTTTGTCCTCCTTGGGACATCTAAACTACATAGCAGGGGTTTCTAACTTTGAAGACATTAGGGGTGAAGTTACATGTTATACTTAGACCATACTAAATCTGTGGAATGTTAAGTGGTTTTAAAGTTAGAATGTGCTGTGAGCAGTTGCATGTTAAGGGTTATTACCATTTCTTGCCTGCACAGCTCTGACTTATCACTAGGGAGCTGGTGAGCAGGAGTGTGGCTGGGAGATAGGACACCTGGTCTCTATCCTCACTTTGGGTTGGGGATGTGTTGGAAAGGGGAAGTGCAACAATGGGAGTATGGAGCTGGGAGGCAGAGAGGCATTGAGGCTGTGGCTTTCCTCAACAGTCTCCTCACCCCACCTCACCTCTTGGGGTGGAGGGAGAGGCCTGTGCTTCAGGAAGCCTTCCACCAACCCCTGCTGTCTGATCTTAGCCCCCTCAGCCTTCCCTGGAGAGGGCTTTGCCTTTTGTCTAGAGACAGGCAAAAGCTGCGGAAACTGAGGTTTAATTAATGAGTGGAGCCATCAGGGTTTAGTCAACAGCAGCACAGAGCCACAGGGAAGCAGTCTTCCCTGTTCTCCATGACTCTATGCTCCCACCATGCTAAACTCTGGGGGCTCTGTGATGCTAGCACAACTTTCTCCCACAACCCCACATTGCATGGGGGAAGCTGCCTGCAGAGAGAAGCTATAGTCCAAATGCCCCCAAGCTTCTCCATCTCCCAGCTCCATGCTTCCACTGCTGCAACCTGCCTTCCTGTCACTGGCAGGGCCCCACTTGTTCCCAGGCAGTCACACCCCCTCAGCAGTAGAGTTCTGGACGGTGAAATATTTATCCAGAGTGGAAGGAAGGGGGCCTAGGAGTGGTGAATCCTGGGATGCTGGAGGACTGCAAATTGCTTGTTTTATCTCTAGGGAGCAGACTGATGTTGCCCTAACTTGAGCTAAGTTAACCTGTGCCTGAAATGATGCAGCTGTGAGCTGCTCAGAGGGCACTTGGCACAAGTTAATGAGCTGAGCTTTAATGTGCTGATGCTTCATTTTAAGTGCCCTTAATATGGTCTAAGTTTAATGTGTAACTTCATCTTTATAAGTGATTGCTCACTGATATTACACTGAATGGGATTGCACCCTGTCCAGTGTTAGTGGTAAAAGAAACAAGAACATACTTATATTGAATAACATTGAAGAGAGTTGCACTGTTTTAATTTGGGGTGGTGGAACCGTATGCTTTTGCTATGAAAGACACTTAATCCTAGTGCATTTAATTCATTTTTAATTTAAATACTTTACAGCCCGGAGTCCAATTTTCACGCATCTTGTTACAAGCTTAAAAGGGCTATGGACGTTAAGAGCTTTTGGGAGACAACCATACTTTGAAACTTTGTTTCACAAAGCTCTGAACTTGCACACAGCACACTGGTTCCTCTACTTGTCCACACTGCGCTGGTTCCAGATGAGAATAGAAATGATCTTTGTCATCTTCTTCATTGCTGTGACATTCATCTCTGTTATAACTGCAGGTAAATCCAACTGCTATATCACTGGTTCTCAACCATTTTGGACTGGAGGCACCCTTCATTGGACTTGAGGCACTCCATAACTTTTGTGAATTTATGTTGTAAAATACTACAATGCTTACCTCCTTGCAGAGGAGTTGGGCAATGTTGGTGAGGGTTCAGATAAAAACAAGTGTGAGCCTCTGTTTACCTATTTAGTTTATTTGCTTATCTTCTCATATATCAAGGCACCCTTCAGAGGATCTGGTGGCACCTCAGGATGCCCCAGCACCTGTTTGAGAATCCTGTGGTATATTAAAATGAACCCTTTGCTTTTAGTCAAGGACCCATATTTAGAAACCATTTCATTATCAACTATTGCAAGATTATACTATATGCAGAAGATAGCAGTTTACTGTTGTTATATTGATATGATATGAGCAATCAGTTAAAATTAGAAATAAAATAATTAGGATGTATATTAGGATATATTATTGTTTGAAAGGGTCAATTTGAAAAAAATCCAAGTGATAAAACAATGTTAAAAGAAGCCAAGACCTGCATTCTTTGACCTCTGACTGTTTTAGAAGTTATTTCATGTAATGCGAGAGTGTACTACCATGCTAGAATACTGTTGAGTAAAGAAGTAAATATCTGTTTGCAAGGTTCTCTTTCTTTGGATAGCTCAAAGTTTGTAGCAAAGGTAGATTAATATTAACATTCCTCAGAGCTGAGACAAAGAAAGATTCAGTGAACCCTGTGAAGATGCAAAGCAAGTCAAAGACAGAATGTCCAGTTTCCTGATTCCTGGCCCAGGTTTCAATCTACTGACATAGTTACGCAACTACATCAGTTTAGCAAGTTCCAAACAAAACAGATTACCAAACTTTACAAACTAATTACAGAATTATGTTATTATACACTCTCACCATTTCCCTCACCAATGAAAAGCGGCTGCTAGTTGAACAATGAGTTGGCAATCCTTAACCAGCACAGCACCACTAAAATTCTGGCAGAAACAGACAAACACATCTAAAAGAAATGATTGAGGAAATTTTAAGTAAAGAAAATGTAAGAGAATTTTCCAAAACCTGTCTCCTTTTTTGTACTGTTCTATGTTGAAATTACTAAGGACTATGCAGTTTTCCTGCATATATTTTCCTTGAATGTGTAATATTTTACTGTTATATATATTTTGGTTCTGATTTAGATTAGTTTTTTTCTTTTTTCAAGTTTTGCATGGACACTTTCATTCAAAACTTCTAAAATAAAAACAATTCATAACTGAAGCAAAATCTTTAGCTTGGAGTAGGAAGAAAAACAAATAAAATCATTACAGTGCACAGGCATTGGAGACTGTAAAGTTCAAGAGCACAGTAGTATGGCAAAAGAAAAGGATAGATGCCAAGATTTACATCAAAGGCTAATTCCTGATTACTGTAATAGCACAATTGTCTGGTGATGTCAATTAGGTTTGTGTGTAAATAAGGCGGACAGGATTTGGCTTGTAAATTTTATGACTGTGGGCCAACTTATAGAATACACATGCAGGCATGTGTGCACAGTATTTTTTGCCACAACCCTCATTCTAGGCTAAGTGCAGACATTTGGGGTGGTTAGAGTGAACTTAGATCACATTAAAAAGGGCCATTCAATCTAATGTAAGTCAGAATGTGGAGGGGTGGGAGGGGGCAGGCTGTGTCCATATGGAATTGGGTGGGGGGGAAATTAGATCTGCAGGAAGGATTGGGGGTCAGGCAGGATTGATGGGAGCAATTGAGGGGGGCAGCCAGGGTCCATGTGGTAGGGCTTGGTGGAGTCCAGGAGGGTTTGGAGGGATCAGGGGGGCTTGTGGGTTCTATGGGGAGAGTCTGGGGGGGATGGGACCAGGGGCTATTTTTACCCCTTCAGTTCCTCCAGGGAACTTATACCCCTATCTCTCCCCCCACTGATACTTACTTGTTTGGCTCCCAACAGCAGTGAACACTGATAAATCTGGCACCTGGAGCAGCTTATGGGATGAGGGGTTGGGGGTGGGGCTGGCTGGTCCATGGAGGGGAGCAGGGGAGGGGACAGCAAGGGACTGGGGGGCTAAAAATAGCTTGGTGTCAAGGAGCCAAGTATGAAAAGTGCAGCCCTGGGGCTGGGGCCAATGGCTGGGCTTTCCCAACTCCAGGGTGGCACACATAATTGTACTGAAGTTCCATGCATCTAGATTGATGGAGGCTGAGCATACATCAATCCAGGTCTTTCTTAGACCAGGTTCTGCCTTTTTTAGTTTAGTCTATATGTCAATGGAACTTCTGTACTGTTATAGGTTTAGATTGATTTCTGATTGCTGACACTGGGTTTAAGTGTAAGGTCTGCACTTAGTTGAACTAAGTTAGATAAGGTGGCCATTTTTAACCCAATCTAACCTTTCCCTAACCCCCTTGAATTTCTGCACTTAACCCTATTGAGTGTGGTAACATCAATTTCAAACACAAGATCACTAAGAATGTCAACATGTTAACCATGCAATGCAAGCTGTCATTCTTTAGGATGGAATTAACTGCACAGAGACTAGAGTAAAAGAGAGAAAAAGGAAGTGGGGATAGATAATGTTCTTCCTTTGACTACAGAGAAATATGAGAGAGTAAAAGATTTTGATGAATTACATTTCAACGTTTATCAAGTTTTAGCCAAGAAAACATTAGATTGAATAGTGCCATAATACATTAACTAAATATTTATGCTGCTGTAGTTTAACAAAACCCATTAAGAATGCAGCATGCTGATTTTATAAGCTGTGTCTGAAGGGAAGTATATATACAAAGATCTGAAATTCTATTGCCAAGTGTACATTATACTTAGCTAGAAGACTGTGTGGTTACCAATAGAAGCTTGATGCAGCAAATAGGAGAGTTTGGTTGATACTTGCAAAGCTGTGCTCAAAAGACATCTGTTGTGAACTATTTTCATATCCTTTGGCACAACTAACACTTTGCATTTGCATAGTTCAAAAAGCTAAAAGCATTTAAAAACCATTAATTCTATGACAAAAACTTTATTGCCAAGTACAGCTGGATTTCAGACCACACATTTGGATATGAATGAAGTTTTACAATTTGAATTTTGGATCATTTTATCCACAAATCATCAGTTTTTTCTTCACCTAGTGGTGTTAATGAATATAGTAAGAGTTCAATTCAGATATTATCTAATGTGATCTGGCAAAATTTCAAAGGTAAAAGTAATTGGTAGAGAAAAGTTTTATGTAGTTGCAATATGAATATAATTCTTCCTTATTTCCCATCTTTAATGAAACACTCTTAATTGAAAAAGAAGACACACTTCTGTTTGAAATTGTTTACCTTCTTTGTTTGCAATTATTGTATAAGAGAATCTTATCTGACTAAATTACAGAGAAAAGTCTCCCTCCCCAACATTTTTAATTTTATACCTTTAAAGCTGCTAGTTTATAGGCACGTTTGCTGATTCTCTTGTTCATTTATGTGGGTCTTTTACAGAGGAACAGGGAATGCAAACAATGTTAATAAACATACAAATTTGATTTTAGAACAAAAGGGTAGATGCACTACATAAGGCAATCCCAGATTTTTTTTGAACTTTCCAGACTTCAAAAGAACTAACTATTTTTATTAGTTAGTTTTTCTAATTACATGATAAAGAGAAGTAGTCTATAAACAAAATAAATAGGAGATGGCTTGGTGAGGCAGTCAACAACTTAGAGGAAGGTATCTTGAATATAACCAAACATCATCTGTCATTGTTAGCCATACTGAAAATGGTATATCAGGCCCCTGACAGGCATTACATTTATGGTGTAATCAACATATTAATTGCACCATAAATTACAAGATGCCACATATTCAGTCAATTTATGGCACCATAAAACAGCAAAGACATTCCATGTATAATGTCGAACAACTTTGTAGCTGATTTATATGGCGTCATAAATGTGTGGCATGTGTTGTGTTTTAGAATGAGTCTGTCCTACCAATGATGAAAGTCAGCTGATTGTTGTCATTGGCTGGGGATAGCTCTAGGCCTGGAACCAGACCCGTGATCTGAGGCCAGTGAAATCACCCGATTGTTGGCACAAGCCCAGACAGCCCTGGATCCCAAAACTACCTCAGCCTGATCCCCAGTTGGCAGTTCTGGTTCTCTGACTGGGACATGGAGCTACCTGTGCTCAATTCTAGTGCTCAGCAGAGCTTCAGGATCAGGCACAGGGTAGCCCCAAGGTCCAGGACAGAGTGCCCCTATCCAATCCGCAGGATCAAGCTGAGGGTAGTCCTGTAGTGGTACAGTTAGGATATAAGGAATTTTGTGACCCATCAGAAACATTGCTTATCTGATGAATGTCTGGCATGGCAGGATGTGTGGTTTTTGTTATGGGGCATAAAATTCCTCTGATCCTAAGTGAGCTATTATTTTAACCTTTACCAAGGGCCTCAGATTCAAGACTGGCCTTGCTAGGGTTTTTATAATACTCGTGTTACTTTGTATTAATTTATTGTGATGCAGATAAATCCTACCCATGCCAAAAGGAAACAAAAAAACAACCCACAAAAATTATATCGTCATATTTGTCAGGCAGATGAAAACCCAGTCTTGAGCTAGTGAGTTAAGTAGTTTGGATACTTTCATCTTGTTATTTGTGCTGTTAAAATGAAAAACTGCTTACAAGCCTCTACCTAAACAATCCCTTAACACCTAAGTGAGGCAGATAAGAGAAATTTTACAAATTAATAGAGTAGAGGATGAGGAAATCATTGACCAAATCATTGGTCAATGATTCAGTGACCAATTCATCATTGGTCAATGGCAAATTTCGCATCAAAACAAAATTCCATTATAGCAAGTCTACTGTTAAAGCCAAAAGTATAATCCAGGATTCCAGCTGCCATCTCCTTTGCTCTCATCACCAAAGCATGCATCCTTTCTGAACAGAGGAAATGGTTCATAAAAAAAGGAAAGCTTTTACTTGATATTTATAATTTAAGATTTACCTGGCGATTTTATTTAATAGCTGTTGACTTTTTATACTTAAATCTGTTTATAACTTTTTTTTTCTACCTGCAGGTAAAGGAGAACCCAAAGTTGGCATTGTTTTAACGTTAGCCATGAATATTATGAGTACCTTACAATGGACTGTGAATTCAAGCATAGATGTGGACAGTCTGGTAAGAACGAAAAACATGTTATGTTAAAAAATCTCAATCTTGTTTTATTGCTTATTGATGTATATGTGAGCTATTGTAAGATCTCAATATAGGCAGAACATTAAAAGTCTCCCATTACAGGAGCAGTTTCCAAGCATGGGATTATGACCTCACATAGGGTTGCACAATTTACAACTATGGTCAAATGCTCTATAGAAGTTCAATTATAATAAGGCACATTGACACTGGAAATGAAGCTGCTAGATGGCTGGAGATGAGGTCACAAGTACAGAAGTTGGGTCAGTCTTTGAAAAACTTGAAAACTCTTGCCTTACATTTTTCCTGATAACCTACATTTTTCCCCATGGAGTCCAAGTTGTGTGGTGATTCTGTGATCAAAAGTCCTGTGTGGATAGATCTAGGAGAGCAGCATGTGATTACACATGAGACTACAAACCAGATTTGCACTAGTGAGGAGAACACTTAAGAAAGATGTGGATTTGTTTTGTGAAGACTTGGGCTTATCCAAATCTTGGTGATAGGCTATAGCATAAAGCCCTAAAATAGAGGTCAGGTACAGACATTACACTTTTACCAGTATAAGTGATTGGAAACTGGTCTATACCTGTAACAGAACAGAAGTTTGGCACGCAAAACCAGTCTATACTCATAACATAACAGAAGTTTGGTATACATAGATGTGGCAGGGCACTAATAGGACTGGACCAGGGAGGGGCAGGTGCCTGATCAGGGTGGCCATTTTAAGGCCCAGCTCCCTTAGCTGAGGTCAGTTTGTGAACAGCCGGCAGAGGAGAAACATCTCTCTGCTGAGCTCTGCCAGGAACACCTCGGAGGTAAAGGGGGAGGTTATGGGGAAGAAGGAGGCCTCATTGGTCCTGAGGATGACCTAAAACTGCACCCTGCTGGGGCAGGATGCCCTAGTAGGCTTGTAGGTGGTGCAGCAGTTCCCATGTAAATGCCAGAAGTGAACACCTCCCCAGTGTAAGGTGGGGCAGGGCGCCTTAACTTCAGCCCAGGGCCAGGCATGCTTTGCTAACCACTTGAGCAGGAAATGGGGGACCCTGAACCCTGTGAGCAGACGAGCAGCTTAGACTTGTCCTGAGGGACCCTCAACTGGCCCATACTGGGGCCAGGAACCAAAGTAGGGTTGAAGGACTAAGGTGGCTTGCTGCGAGGGACGCTCAGAGCAGAGAGCCTCGGGATCCTGATTGGCCTGAGACAGGGCCAGGGCCTAAGAGGGAGCCGAAGGTCCCAGAGAGGGGACCACAGCTAAGGGAGTGAAGGGTACAGCTGAGTTTAGCTGCCTGGGATGCCATCTGTGAAGCTTGGGCCTCAGTGTAGGGGTGAAACAAAGTTGCGGATATATCCCTAAGCATTGGGGTTCAAAATGGCCAGCCTCCTGCCTAATTAACATCTTAATACTATTACACCAAGGCGTGGCAGAAGAGTGAGGTGGGCAGCTGGGCTATAGACAAGGGGCAGGTCGGTGCTTGCACTAGGCGTGAAAGTTTGCCCCTGTCACAATAGACTGATTTAAAAATGGTGGAAACCAGTCTAAGATTTGTGCCCCCAACCAAAGGGCAAATGTGTGTTCTGCTCATACTAATCTAAACTATGTCACTTACGGAAAACTACATAACTTAGATTGATTCCACCTTGCGGTTTTTTAATGTCTGTGCCTAGCCAGAGTCTCCTACCTGCTTCCTTGTTAAATTGATACCAGTTGTAAAGTCCCTTGTAGACTTCAAAAGAATCTTTGGCACTACTCCTTTTCAAAGTAAAATACTCTTCTTCACAGTAGGATTTTGATAGCTTGGATTTGCATTTAGCTTTTTTTTTTTCTTTGAATTGATTTGTTTCAAAATTGTTTGCATTAATTTGTAATTGGTTGAGGGTTTTGTGGTAGAATATTTGACACAATGTTGACTCACAATTACCTAAATTTTTGAGACTGAAAATTCATGAAAGTATAGAATCATGGAAAAGTAGGGACTTCAGAAGGTCATGTAGTCCAACCCCCTGCTCAAAGCTGGACCATCCTGAACTAGATCATTCCAGCCAGGGCTTTGTCAAGCCAGGCCTTAAAACTCTCCAAGGATGGAGATCCTACCACCTCTCTAGGTAACCTGTTCCAGTGCTTCACCACCCTTCTAGTGAGAAAGTTGTTCCTAATAGCCAAGCTAAACTTCCTCTGTTGCAACTTGAGATCGTTGCTCCTTAAGAACAGTCTAGCTCCATCCCATTTTGAACCAACCTTCAGGTAGTTAAAGGCTACTATCAAGTCCCTCCTCAGTCTTCTCTAGAGTAAATAAACCCAGTTCCCTCAGCCTTTCCTCAGAAGTCAAATGCCCTAGCCCCCTAACCATTTTTGTTGCCCTCCACTGGACAGTTTCCAATTTTTCCACATCCTTTCCATAATGGGGCCCCAAAACTGGACACACTAACTCCAGATGTGGCCTCACTAGTGCCGAATAGAGAGGAATATTTACTTTCCTCAATCTGTTGGCAACACTCCTACTAATGCAGCTCAGTTTACCAGTAGCTTTTTTGACATTGTTGGCTCGTATTCATCTTATTGTCCACTGTAACCTGCAGAATCTTTTCTGTAGTGCTGCTGCTTAGTCATTGGGCCCAAGCCAGTAGCAGTGCATGGGATTGTTCCATCCTAACTGCAGGACTTCATACTTGTCCTTGTTGAACTTCATGAGATTTCTTTTGGCCCAGTCCTCCAATTTGTCTAGGCCACTCTGAATCCTAGCCCTACCCTCCAGCCTATCGACTACTCCCCCCAGCTTGGTGTCATCCGCAAACTTACTGAGAGTGCACTGCATCTCATCTTCCAGATCTTTAATGAAGATACGGAACAAAACTGGCTCCTGGACCAACCCTAATTTTCAGCATTTCCATTTCTAGCTATAAACTTAGAAATGTGAAAGACAATAAAGGAGTTAGACTCCGAGATTGATTTATTAATTTCAAATGCATGAATTGTATCTATCTTGTATGCTGTGCATTACAGGATTTAGTTTAAATGCACTCCTTTAAAAAAATATATAGTGAGGTACTTAGATAACAGTTACATCAGTTAAAATAATTTGAGTGAAGAAACTTTAAAAAAGTTACCTTTCTTCATAGTTTCATAGTTGGTAGGATTGGAAGGGACCTGAGCAGATCATCAAGTACGACCCCCTGCCATGGCAGGAAAAAGTACTGGGGTCAAACGACCACAGCAAGGTGTTCATCGAGCCTCCTCTTAAAGACCCCCAGGGTAGGAGCCAGCACCACTTTGCTTGGAAGTAGGTTCCAGATCCTAGCCGCCCTGACAGTGAAGTAGCGCCTCCTGAAATCTAGCCTAAATCTGCCCCCTGCCAGCTTGTGACCATTATTTCTAGTCACTCCTGGTAGTGCTCAGGGAAACAGGGACTCCCCCAGTGCCTGCTGGTCCCCCCCTGACTAGTTTGTAAACAGCCACTAGGTCCCCCCTCAGCTTTCTCTTGTGGAGGCTGAACAGGTTCAGGCCCTGTAGCTTATCCTCGTAGGGTCTGCCTGCTGCCCCCTGATCATGTGAGTGGCCCTCCTCTGGACCCTCTCCATGTTGTCCACATCCCTCCTGAAGTGCGGCGCCCAGAACTGGACACAGTAGTCCAACTATGGCCTGACCAGTGTTGCACAGAGGTGGAGGATCACCTCCTTGGACCTGCTTGAGATGCATTTGTGGATGTATGACAAGGTGCGGTTGGCCTTCCTGACTGCATCCCCACACTGCCTGCCCATATTCATCTTGTCATCAGTGATGACTCCAAGATCCTTTTCTGCCTCTGCACTGATGAGAAGGGAGTTCCCCAGCCTGTAGGTATGCTGCTGGTTCTTCCTCCCCAGGTGCATCACCTTGTGCTTGTCAGTGTTGAAACCCATCCTGTTCTCATCCGCCCACCCCTGTAACCTGTCTAGGTCCGATTGCAGCCTATTCCTCCCTTCTAGCATGCCCACATCCCCACACATCTTGGTGTCATCTGCGAATTTGAACAGGGTGCTTTTTACCCCCTTGTCCAAGTCGCTGATGAAGATGTTGAACAGTGCGGGCCCGTTATCCTTAGTAACATACATCCTCCCTCATTAAGAAGAAAAAACGCCTTAACTAAATTATGGACTAAAATAAAAAATAACCCACAGCCACCTATACATGAAGATCTCTTAAATCCACTATGTCTGAGATTAAAATCTTGACATCCTGCTAGGAGAACAGCAGTTCAACTTCAGAAAGACTCATATGACATCTAAAATGCCTGTACAATTCACCCCTTAATGAATGGCTCAATTCACCTCTTAATACAGAAATTATTATAAATCCCACCATTAGACCATCTGACTTTGATCTCCCTAGACATCTTTGGTTTACTCTAAACCAAATCAGGACAGGACATGGCACATGTGGATTTCTGTTGCATCGATGAAACTGGACTACCTCACTGAACTGAGACTGTGGTGCCCCTTTTCAAATTTTGAACCACAGCACCTCTGAATGCCCTCTCCATGCATTTAATGGAACTCTATGAATCTGCACAATAGTATACCTGAGGCAATCAGCTGGCTGCAAAATTTGGACATAAAATTGCGAACGGTTTTCCTTTCGTTGTGATCGGTGTATACCCTTGGAAACCACACCCCCCCCCCCCTTATAGTCAGAAAGTTCCTCCTAATCCCCAACTTAAATTTTCTCTGCTGTAGCTTGAGGCCATTGCTTCTCTGTCCTGTTGCTACAGAGAAAAGCCCATCTCCATCCACTCTGTCATCATCCTTCAGGTATTTGAAAACTGTTATCAAATCCCCCCTCAGTCTTCTTTCCTCCAGACTAAATAACCTAATTCTCTCATCTTTTCCTTATAAGTCTTGCTTCCCAGCCCTTAGTCATTTTTTTGCCCTGCACTGGAGTCATTCTAAACTGTTCACATCCTTCTTGAAGTGTGGGGCCCAAAACTGGATGCAGTATTTTAGGTGAG